TGAGAACACAAACTTTGTTCTGTGCTCATGTTGGAGTCACTTCATCACAAATCATCAAATTCTAACAACATTTACTGCTCAACCATTTCTAGTTTAGCCTCAAATCTTTACAGCATAATATTTCACATTAGAAAGTAAATTCATTCTCTTGATTATTGTAGAAACTGGTTGATAGGATCCAAACAGATCATTTTGCTTTGTATTCCATTGGGAATAAACTTAAAGACCAAAGTCACAGCTGGATTCTGTGCAGACAGTTTCACTGTGACTTCACTGTATATTTATAGGAACGGCTGAACAGTTGACTTTCAAGCAGCTTTTACAATAAGTACATTTATTCAGTACAATAGGTCACAATACACTCTGTTTCTCCAGCCTGAAAAATAGAGTCGGAAAATGAAAAATATGCTCAAATTTTAAAAAATAATTCTTCATTGTACTTGAAGAAGCATTTTGAAAATGCACAACTCTGTTCCACGTGGATCAGACTATCTACCAATATTTTCGTCATACTTGCTCAATCTGTGATAAAAGTTCAACAAAAATAACTTTTGTTGTCATGCTTGTGACCAAGTATTTTATACTAAATAGTATTCTCTATGTTTTATTTAGTATTACTGTGACATGCAGCTACATGTGGTTCAGCAAATATCACTGGTCGACTTCTGCCTCATCAGTGTTTTTGTTCATGTGAGCTTAAAGATGAGACTTTTTATGGCGGCTTCAGTTCATACTTTTCCAGAATCCACTTGTCCATTATTGCAGATTCTGAATCAATGACATGATGAAAAATAACAGTGAAAACTTCAGGCTTTTATTTTTAATAGTTTCTGACAAATTGTCATTCAAACAGCCTTAAATTTAAATTTGTGAAAAACCTGCTGAAAGTAAAACTATCAAGCAAAAAATTCATAGATACTATTGTAAATATTTATAGTTTATAGTCTAAAGCAAATCAGAGGCAGCTGAGCAGAAGGCTCCTGATGATTTGAGATGGAACAACAGGTTGGCGGTTAAGTCAATGAACAAATGATATATTATGAATGACACTGAAATATATGAACACTGTTCCAGTCAATTCTGTTTTTTCTTAAACACACGACTTCTGGTTGGAGGTCATTAACCTCCACAAAAGTCTTTGTCATAGTGTTCATGCTAGCTAAAAGCCCACAATGCTCTCTACTGCCCAACAGTCCAACTGACCACCTCGTCTGGTTGCTACAGTATTAAACAGTAAGAGGCTCCACCTGGT